CAGGTGGAGTGGAGGAGGGATGTGGCGAGCGGCGGGAACCTCGAGGGGGTGGGCAGGTGGAGTGGAGGAGGGATGTGGCGAGCGGCGGGAACCTCTGGGGCGGGGGGACCAGTGGAGTGGAGGAGGGATGTGGAGAGCGGCGGGAACCTCTGGGGTGGGGGGGGCAGGTGGAGTGGAGGAGGGATGTGGCGAGCGGCAGGAACCTCGAGGGGGTGGGCAGGTGGAGTGGAGGAAGACTTACCAGGCAGGCAGCAGCAGCAGGCGGTGGGGGGGCCTCAGGGAGGGGAAGACGCTGAGCCTCCACCACAGCCCAGGTGTCCGGCAGGTCAGTGGCAGCTGCTCCAGGGAAGGCTAAGCCTGTTATCTCCCCCCCGCAGCCATGAGAGTACTTGTATTTGTGTAGCAAGTTATTCACATTCTGCCCTGAAGAGGTGCTGCATCACATCTGCTCATTTATACTGGTGTCAATCTGGAGTAACTCCACTCATAGCAACAGAGGGCAGAGCGCTTTGGTAGCTTTCCCCAAGAACGCCCGTGCTTGGCAAAGAGCTCGGGAACACTGATGGGCTCGTTCTGTTTTTCCTAGGTACTTAATACGCTCCGACCCGCTCGCTCACGTAGCCAATGACTCCCACAGTCGAAAGAGCAGCTGTAGTAACAAGCTGGATCCGTGCAATCCTGAAACCAGAGATGAGACGCAGCTCTAAACAGCCTGGCCACGGCCCAGGGCTTCGTCTCACACTGCTAGTGCATGGAACTGGAAGAGCATTTCCTATACACTGGACCCAAGGGGATGGATTCTTTGGGGACAAAAATGGATTCCAGGTGGAACACTTAAAAGAAAAAAATCCAGTGAACACTAATTGTCAGTGGTTTCCAATGCCCTGGCAGATTCCTCCGCATTGCACTAAGAAAATGGAATTCCCAACCTGGATTCAAGCGGCTTAGAAATGCCTTGAAAGGAAGCTCTTCAAACCTCGGCGTTAAAGGACAGTTGGCCAAATAAAAGGCTCGAGGATTCATACAGTTATTTGTTTTTAACTTTTTTTTGAATATATACCGCAACTAGTGAAACAGTCTTCATTGGTACTGGCAGACGTGGCCGAAGTGAACAGAGACTACAACTGAAACCTGATTGACTAGAAGGCTCGGGCTGAAAAACACCCCCAAACACTGCCGGTCACGTTGTACCCAGTGGAACGTGGAAGTGTCAGGGCGAGAGAGAAAATTATCATGTAGCCTTTTTATTTATGTTTTCAATGGTATCCTTCTCACTGCAGGCTACCCAACCGTCCTAATGTTCTTCAGCATTTGTTGCCTTGTTTTCCATTATGGGGAAAGAGAGAGATGGGGGAGGGAGAGAAGTGACTGAGACATCACTCACTTTTAATTATCCATATTCAGTTCTGATATGATAGCAAATCATGCCATTGGAAGCTCCAGCAAGCTGCTGAGGTGGGACAAGAAACCCCTTAAGGTAGAGGGCTGCTGGAAGTGTGTGATTTGTCCGTAGGCGCTGGGGCTCTGACCCACAGCCATTGTCGAATTACAGCAGTCTACATTTATCGTTCTGTCAAAAGCCTGTGCCAAATCCACCGTTCCTTTTAAAGTCTCATAAACAGGCAAACTGAGGACCAAAATCATCCCCGTGCTGTGTTCATATCTACAGGGAAACCCTGGTTCAACTGGGCCCCCAGACTCGCACCCACCCCGAGACTTTGCCACATCCCCACATATCAAATACCAGCTCTGGCTGGCAGTATTATATAAATGGGCAACCGTCCTAGTCTAGCCATACATACTGAGGATTAAAAGTCTCCTAGGGTACAAGCCGCAGTTTTACAAACAAGGCTGCTGTAGTCACACTCACATTAGGATAACCGAAGTCTCTTATCTAGCTAGAAGATAAGTGCATCTTTATTGCATCTGGATCGGACGTGGCCAGCACCTCTCGTCTAAAGACTTCATTAAAGCCACAACTAGGGCGTCACTGTCCCCTATTGCGCCCTGCAGCCCACTGGAAGGGTTGCTATGGCTGAGCCACAATGCTTTACTCTAAGTGCTTGGTTACAAAGGGCCATAGGCCACTAACTGCCACTTTAGGAGAGAAGTCCACTATCAGCTACCCCGGGCCCGCACAAAACGCCTGCTCAGCTGCTGCCTAACCCAGTCGGTGCCTCAACCCACTCGGTGCCTCAATTTTCACTGTAAAAGACCCTACACGTCTAAGATTCTGCCTCTGGGCCATGTGTGCTGTTGGCTTAGTCTGGGGGGCTGGATGCCTGTGCCCTAGGGGAAGCGAGGCCTTATCTCACCGGCCAAGCCCAAGCCAGTAGGTGCTCAGAGGGCGCCCAGGAGAGTGGCTCCCTGGCCAGAGGCCATAGTGGTGCTGGCCCCCATTTTATAGCTCAGGGCTTAGCGCCCTCACCTAAGATGGGAGCCCCAGCTTCAGGTTGAGGGGGAGAAAGGCTTGGAGCAGGGGAGTGCTCTGACACTGAGCTATGGGATGGCGTGCGGGGCTTTGGCTCGCTCTTCCATGTTGGATAACTAGAGTCATTGGCAGAGGGGAACTGGCTCTTGGCTCTCCCACCACTCAGAGTTGGTGGTGGTGGTGGGGGGACCCGAGGCAGCCATCTCAAGCACTCGTGCTCAGTGGGCCAATAGTTATTTAAGCCCAAGTGGACCAGGCTTTAACAAGCTAGACTGTGGGAAACCCACCTGAGTGTGTCCCATAGCTGAGGGGTAGAATGCGTCCTAGAGAGTGGAAAACCCATGTTCAACTCCTTTCTCCCTACCACGCAGAGGGGGGAATTATCCCTGGGGAACGTGGGTCTCCCACAGCCTGGGTGAGGGCACTAATCACTGGGCTGCAGGCAGGCGGGCGGGGCAGCAGCAGCTTCACTACCTGTAGGAGAGGGTTCGCACCTGTGACTTCCACGCAGCGCTAGACACCTCATTGCCACCCAGATTTAGGCACTGACCTCCTTGAGAGGCGTGGGGGTCTATAGTACCCTTCTCATTGCCCTCTACCATTGACTAACCTCAGCGGCTTCCCTGCTCCATGCGCCAGCTTTTATGGAATCCACTCCTAGGTGCCTCTCTCTTCCCAGTCATTGTAATAGGGAGCCAAGGCTTCAAATCAGCCCTTGTGATGCTCAGTGATTTTTCTAGGTGCTTAAAAGTTACCCTCGCACTGTTCAACAGGCAATGCCCAAGTCTCTTTGCAACTCTGGTCCAAAATTTAGTCAATAGGCCTCATTTCATAACAGAGTCCTCATCTACAACCACTAACACATATAGGTAGGTTATGCCAGTGACCTCATGTCGTTACAGGACTAGGCCCTAAGAGAAAATTGGGGGCTCCAGGAGGGAGTTTGGGTGCAAAGCTGGGATCCGGGCTCTGGGAGGGATTTTGGGTGCAGGAGGGTGCTCAGGACAGGGGATTGTGGGGGTGCAGTGCTTATGTCAGGAGTCTCCCAGAAGCGGCGACATGTCCCTCTGGCTCCTAGGTGCAGAGGGGGCCAGGGGCCTCTGTGTGCTGCCCCTGCAGCTCCCATTGGCCACGGTTCCCTGCCACTGAGAGCTGACGCTTGGGGCAGTGGTAGTGCGCGGAGGCCCCTTGGCTGCCCTTGCACTTAGGAGCCGGAGAGACATGCCAGCCGCTTCCGGAAGCCGCGTAGAGTCGTCGTCGGCCCTTTTCAACGGGGCCTTCAGACCTCTGGCAACCCTACACACTGTAACAGGTCACAGCAGGGCTGGCTCCAGGGTTTTTGCCGCCCCAAGCAGCACAAAAAAAAGACAATCTGGTAGATTCATTTTAATTCCTTTTACTGGATCACCCAATCTTGCCCTTCACTAAGTGTCCAGCTGCTGTAGTCACAGAGGCTCGCTTGAAAGATGCTGCTGAAATTCAACATCTCCCCTACACCCTTCTTTTATGATCCCCTTAGCACCCCAGCCTCCTGGCTGTGCCATGTGACACCCCCCTCCCGCCTCCCCGATTCTGGCCAGGGGCAAGCTGGGACTCCAGTTGTGGTTGATCAGCTTCATTTCTCCAGCTGGTGAAGTCTGGTGGGGTACCTGCAATCAGCCTTGTTTCTGCTAAACATTTCCCAGCAGTGGGCAGGGCCCCATAGCAATGGCTCCTGGCAGCTGCAGTTGTTTTAAGCACCACATTGTCTAACCCCTCTCACTGCCGGGGCTACAGGACGTGGTGCATAAAAACACCAGCAGGCACCCGCCCCTTGTCTATGGCAACACCGCCCCTGGGACTAGCACTGGGGGAACTGAACAGATGTCAGCAACAGGGAGAAAACGGGTATGCAAAGACCAGAGCATGCTGCTTCTTTAGCATGCTCAGCCGCTGCCGGCCCAGGGAGTACAGAAGGTAACTGACTCAGGAACAAACTGCAGGTTTTTCTCCTGGCATTCAAGTGTAAGTGCTGGAGCAAACACCCAGCCCAGCTCATGCCCTTTAGTCATTTAAAAAGGAAGATTAAAAAATATAAACAGTTTATAGAGACTAGCCCCCGAGGTTGAAGACTGGGGCCTAGAGTCAGACACCTAAGGAAACGTGGCCTGATTTAACGGTGCGGGGCACTTGCAGCTACCATTGAAGTCCAGGCAAGCTGCACTGCTGAGCCTTGAGCAAAGCCGGCCCTTCACCTCTCTGCTCCTTCGTTTTCCCTCTAAAACTGCCC